ACATTTGTACGCGCAGAACGTGTTCTTTCTACTTCGGGAAAAGGTACTCTGCAATACCACGGTTGGTGCAAAACATCTCGTCATAGCTCTTGATTTCAAAAGCGCATTTGACACTATGTCCCATGAGCTCATCTTATCTGAGCTAAATGACATCGGTTGTGGGCAAAATATATACGACTACGTTCGCTCTTTTCTAACCTCTTGCACTGCTACAATAGGCCTAGGCCATACACGCTCAGATCCGTTTCCTATGCCCTATATAGAGGCACACCACAAGGGGCGATACTATCTCCTCTTCTTTTCAACATCGACATGAGACGCTTAGCAAGAAGACTAGACGACGTTTGAAGACTAGGGTACGCGTTCTATGCGGATGATATTACCCTATGGGCCAACAGTCGCTCTTTGGGACTAAAAGAGCAAATACTACAAGACGCAGTGACCGCTGTTGACGACTTCGCTTGTCAGAGTGGAATGAGCTGTGCTCCCGGTAAATGTGAATTTATTGGAATCTGAGACAGAGGCTGCCGCATTCACGAGCCGGTCAGCCTCTCCTTTGGAGACTACAAGATCAAAGAGGTACAGAAAATGCGAGTCCTCGGACTGTGGCTATAAAGCAACAAGCGAGTGTACCACACAATAAAAACTGTCAGAACAACGGTGAAGCAGATCTCCCGTATGATTTATAGAGTCACCTATCATCGAAAAGATTTCAAGGAGGCTTAGACGCTCCGGCTTGTTCAGGCTTTTGTCCTCAGTCGGCTAACATATAGTCACAAATATAGGCCAGTTAAATTGCAAGTTTAGTTAGTTGCTTTTAAAGTGACGGCTAAGTGCTCTGCCATAGTTGAGTACGAAGTACTCGAAATCATGAAACATTTTTTTTCTAAACACACAGTCTTGCTTTCCAGGCAATCAATAAAACCGATTTAAATGCCCTAGATGGCTAGATACGAACATCGTACAAGGCGGCTCTCAGCCTACCACTTGGAACGTCCACAGAACGTCTCAAAGCCCTCGGCATACACAATCATTATGAGGAGTTACACGCAGCGGTGCTCATTTCTCAACGGGAGAGGCTTAACTTAACCACTGCTGGGAGAAAATTGTTACGCCGTGTAGGTTACCCAGCTCGTCCTCTGTATGCGGGAGAGGAACTGGAGTCCCTGGCTGAACAGTTACGTGAAAAGGTTCTAGTATCCCCTATCCCAAAAAATATGAGTCCCCGATTTCACAAAGGTCGTAGGAGTGCGCGAGCTCACAAGTTATAGCGGCAATTCGGGAACAATTCGGACACGGTGTACAGAGATGTCGCCCTATGCGGCACAAGCAATTCCGCGCTCGCAGTCGCAGGAGCGGCCTCGGGTCAAGGCCTTCTGACTTGCACCACGGCACGAGCCGCGTCCGCGAATAACGCTTAGGCTTTAAGCTATCGCTCTTGCTATTAAAGCTAAGGATATTCTGGTACAATCGTCCCTTGTTTTCACCGATTCCATGGTAGCATATAGACTCTTTCTCACGGGAAGGCTACCACACAACACCATCCGCCTATTAGGACCGGACCAAATGCAGGTCCATGCTATCATCTGGTGCCCGGGTCCCGCAGGACTCGATGGCAGTGAGAGAGCGGACGGCGCAGCTCGTGCTTTAAACAACCGAGCGGCCTACTATTCCGATGACAGCCCCTTTTCACCGCGAGATATCCTTGAAAACCAACGGCTTGAGTGACGAAGGTACAGTGAACCGCACACAGTTTTAGCCGGCCCGAATTCTTATGATTGAAGCCATATACAAACAAACACATATCCAAATCTTTCCTTGAAGCATGCCATTCATCCCGCGATGTACCGCGATAGTTGTCAGTGGTGCGGAGGCAGGCCCACTTTCGCCCAAGTAACGTTGGATCGTCAGAACAGGCTAACAGAAATTAACTCGCCGCTAATAGCCGATAGCCGGCAAAAGTTCCGCAAGGGAGCAGTGGGAGACTTTCTCACCAGCGAGTATCTGGCGGTGCAACTAGGGCTCCTCGACCAGGCGCAGCGGGCCGCTAAAGCCAGTGGAGCCCATATATATATATATATATATATATATATATATATATATATATATATATATATATATTCCAGCGAAAACCAACTGCACAGACGCACTTCTGCGTGGCTTTCAAGACACGCATGATGGCGTGGAATTTGGAGAGGCCGGAAGCCACGTGAACGAAAAGCGAAGCCGCAACTGTTTCGCCCATTGGTAGTACGATGTGGTCGCGTCACTATTTGTCTTAAAGAGTCGCGAGCCCGGCAACAGTTACGTCGCTAGCATTACGTTCTTCATGCTAAGATTAGAGGGCACCATGCGTCATGCGCTGTATATATGGTGTTGCCGAATAAGGGTACGGGGATTCAATCGGTCAACGTGCCTCCGAGTCACTTGGTTAGCCTCGAGCGTCGGTTTGCATGTTGCATCGTACAGTAAGAACAGCAACGTCTGAACAAGCTCATTACGTTGTTTGGAGTCAGGCTTACGATCGCCCCGCCGTGGTGGTCTAGTGGCTAAGGTACTCGGCTGCTGACCCGCAGGGCGCGGGTTCGAATCCCGGCTGTGGCGGTTGCATTTCCGATGGAGGCAGAAATGTTGTAGGCCCGTGTGCTCAGATTTGGGTGCGCGTTAAAGAACCCCAGGTGGTCTAAATTTCCGGAGCCCTCCACTACGGCGTCTCTCATAATCATAGAGTGGTTTTGGGACGTTAAACCCCACATATCAATCATCAAGGCTTACGATCTTTACCGATGATCAATACTTGGCGCACGTAGTATGAAAAAGGCATAACCGAAGATACCTAATGCACGTGTTCTGAATGAACATGGCTTATCTCGTCAATTCCGTCGTTCTGTCAAGAGGGTTTTTGTTTTTTGTAGAGAACAGTATTATAGTATGTGATGTGACTTGCACTGTGTTGTTTGTTTTGTCTTTTTTTTAACTTTCAAAGGACTTATCTTCTGTGGCAAGAAGTACGGGAGTGTATAGCCTGCTCGTGAAAGCAGTCATCTAACATATACTGAAAAAGCCGTGTATGCCGACGCAGTACAGCAGGAAACGCCACTGACAGATCCAGGTAGGTCAGTCACAGCAATTTGAAAATTCGCCACAAGAGGTGTCATCTATTATTTACAACATTTGCTTTCGATAGGCCAACCTTGCATTTACAAAGATGAGCACATTTTTCTCCTGCCTTGAATGCAGCCCAACATGCGATATGAAGAAGACAGTTAGTGATATTAGGAGCAGCTTATATATGCTTCGCGGAAATGTCGCGTTAACATGGATCCACATATTTCTTGAGAACTTGACTGTCAAAAAATATTGCAGTTACTGTGTGTCACAGAACGAGCGCTAAAAACGGGCGCGCCGCCAAATTCTTGCGATAACGCGCCCAGAGAGACGCGGCAAGGTCAACGAAAAAAAAAGAAAAGAGAAAACAAGCATCTAAGGCTCCCCGGGCGCGCGACGCCTCTCCTCTCGGAAGCGTGGCTTCGCCGATGAACCTCCTCACCCCACAGCGGCGGCCGGGCAAGCGCTAGAAATTTCCAGAAGGAAAGGGGCGTGTATGCCGAGTTGATTCATCTGTCGGGGACCGCCCCCGTACAGTCTCGCGCCCCTCCCTAGCCTCCGCTGCACATCGCGGCGACGAAATGAGTAGAACTTTCTGGAATGTCGCGCGGAAGGTATTTAACCGAGCAGCGGTGATGAGAGATCAGGAGAAGACGGAATTTAGCGCCAGAGTGCGTAGGGATCCCGCCGTGTAGCCGGCGAAGGTTTTGTCCGTAGGGACGAAGCAGGAGATCAAGAGGATTTCCACCTGAGGGGTGAAGGCTCGAGCTACAGGCAAGAGCGTGTGTGTACCGCTATCGAGCGAAGACGCGTGGCGACAGCTGCGTGTGTGAAGCCGACGTGTTCGGGCGAAGAAGTTTGAAGCTTGAAGAGTGGCCAATTGAAGGCGCCAGGTTTCCTGGAAGAGAAACTTCGAGGGCGCGGAACGACAACAACGCTGGACTTTGAGTGAGTGATTCTCGGAAGAGTATCATCCAGACTTTTGTTCCAAGAACTTTGGACTGGATAGGTTTCTATCTCTCTAGTCTTTAAGTGTCTTGGTTGTTCAATGCATGCGACTGCATTGTAGAGCGTATCGTTCGTTGTCTATGTCCGTTGTTTTGAGTGTGGCTGATTGTACTGTGTAGTACGTTGTTTGATTGGTGACGTATTGTATGTAACTATTGTGGAGTGTGCATACGTGTGTATTGTTTTCGATCTGCCATTTCTGAGAATATAATATTTGTTTTGTTTATCAACTCTCGGCTCTGACTTGTTCTTTGGACCACAGCCGGCGTCCGCTGGCGCGCCAAAAAGCACCACTTCTAAATTGTCCACGCTTTCGTGGTGCGGTTCGGCGGGCCGATACTTCGACCCTTGGAATTAGCCCGGCGATTGCCTCCCTAATTAACGGGACCGGTGTGACACTGTGCTCGCAAAATGTTTCAGGCAAACACTCTTTGAAAAAGACCTCATCTACCTTGAGCCTGAATAGTGATAACTATAGTCATTTTCCGCCAATATTGCGGACATTGAAACTTCCATGGGATAATTTTGCCGGATTTTAGCAACCCTTATCCCACCTAGTAGCGTTTTTGCTATTGTTTGGTTTTTGTACAGCTGTCTTTATATTCCCACACGTGTCGTAAACTGCAAGGCTTCCCCCCCCCCCAAAAAAAAAAGTATTCCAGTATCTGTATTGCTCTCCGAAATATCCCGATACGTCAACAAAAAATGTGTTTTTCTAACTTCATTTCAGGCTCCACACCGATGTATTTTAATATGTAGAGTCTGGAATACTTTTCCAAGTATCTCTACCCAGCTTTAGTATTAGATATAGTTTTTGTGTTTCTGTGCGTTTGTTCCAACCAAAATGTGCGCAAGCCCGGACCAACCAAGAAAACGACACGACAACTTATAAAACAGCCGGAATTTATTGGTTCTGGCAAAGTCACCGATCGTTTCATAGCTGACAAGAGTTCAGACACTCCGTGGAACGCAACTGCCTTGTTCTTGCCTGCATGCAGGACCCGTTTTGACGCCGCTCGTCCAAGCAGTCCTAGAACGAACGCCATTGGACTAGCGTATCGAGAGTTCATATCAAGTGAGCGCTGCGAGCGAGCGAACACACAACACAAAACTTCAAACAACAAGAACGAAATGGTACGCCGGTCTCTCTCCTCTTGCACGCACTCAGCACGAGCCGGAAGACGCCTCTTCAGCCGAATGCCGACGTCGCGACATTGGTTGACGCAGCGCTCCCGTGTGGCTCAACGGTGCAACCCATGAACCGCTGCATCAGCTTCATCGCTTTTGCCGGGAACAAACTGCACCGGAAAGGTAAAAATTAAGGTGCGATCTTGAAGAGTATTCGTTATTTATTATTTGTTCCTTTATTTAGTAATACTTTTAAGCCTAGAAGGGTCTTTACACGAACGTATTAAGAGTCAGATAGTTCAATAAGAAACATTCACGCGACATAAATGTGAACATGATTTCAGGGACACTGCTAACTTCAGAGATATGCAAAGTGTAAGAAAAGAAAAGAGAACAACAAAGCTTAAGTGCACTCGTCCCGTCGACAGGGTGGCGTTAATGATTAGTGTTTAAAACCACCGAATGACCCGAATAGGCAGGAGTATGAAGTTTGTTTAAGAATTCAGTAATGGAAGGAGGGGAAACCAGAGGATGGCCGTCAACAAGAGAGCATTAAAAAGAATCTCTTATCTTCTAGGTTGAAGATTGTTCACAATAACAATATTTAACTACTAGACACCCATTTTAACCATTTGAATGGGTCTGGCCGTGGCAGCCGCAATGTTTATATAGAAGCGAAGATGCTTAAGGCGCGGGCGCTTGGTTTTAGGTAGTCGTTAAAGAATCCCTGGAGGTCGAAATTTTCTAAGGCATCCACTACCGCGTCCTTCATAATCATATTGTTGCTCTGGGATGTTCAATCCCCAATACGATTAATAATGCCCTATTTACTGGAATGTAACACCAATTTTTTTCCAAACCTTTACTACCTAAAGTCACCTCTGACGCTACAACTGAATACAAAAATCGCTGTTTTTACATTTTTTGTGACGCGATGAAATGTCCCCCGCCGAGTTACGATCCACTAGGTAAGGTACCGATTTGATTGGGAGTAGAGAGAGAGAGAGATAAAGATGCAAGGAAAGGCAGGGAGGTTAACCAGACACACATCCGGTTTGCTACCCTGCACTGGGGAAGGGATAAAAGGGAGAAAAGAGGTTGCATAGAGATGAGAAGGTACACACAATCACGAGCATACTCGGGGAGCACACAGTCTACAGGCGGTCGCTCAGGCTTGTTGACTTTAGGTAAAGTAGCAGTGCTTTAGTTGCTTTCTGCGTAACTGAGGCAGATGCCCAAGGTCCTAGTATCTTCTGCACACAAAATGGTCCGGGGTCAAGTTGATTCAAAACCATCCGGAGCTGGCATCGCTGTGTGTCGTAGCAAGCGCAGCTGCGCAGGACGTGTTCGATGGTCTCGTCAGCTCCGCAGTAGTCGCATGTAGGAGTGTCTGCCATACCAATGCGAAAGGCGTACACCTTTGTAAATGCAACACCCAACCAAAGGCGGCATAACAGTCTCGCATTGGAGCGGGAAAGTTGTGATGGTAGCTTTAGCTCGAGCGAAGGATCCAGTTCATAAAATTGACACCTTTGAAAGCTGGTAGACGACGAGAACGTGCGTGTGAGATCTCGAGCCAGCACGTAAAGTTGTCTTGCTGCATCAATCCTTGATAGAGGAATCGGGACTACACGGGTTCCTTCATGAGCTGAGCGGGCTGCATCATCGGCTAATTGATTTCCGGTAATACCGATATGTCCAGGCAGCCATTGATATATAATATCATGCCCTCGTGCTAGAGCTTCATGATGACAATGTCTTATTTCTTGTACGAATTGGTCATGACTCCTCCTACGCATGGCAGACTGCAAACTCTGAAGCGCTGCCTTCGAATCACAGAATATGACCCATTTTCCTGGACGTTCTTGAACAAGATATCAGAGCTTGCTGCTATAAGAGCTGCTTTATGATTGGGAGTAAACTCTTTCAAAAAACATGCAGCTGGACTCCAGCAGTTTAGGGAAACTTAACTACCGTGTCTGAATTATTAGCAGAAAAGATGAAATTTTTAGGTTCGCAACAGAAGCTGAAAAACCATGTTTAGTATTCAGTATGGGCTAACTGTTTGTGGCTCATTTGTTATTGTATTGAGGTAGTGCTATCACCCGCTAGAAAAAGAGAGAATACAATGAGGGGAAGGCAGGGTGATTAATCAGATATCGGAGCATCCTGTTCGCTACTCTGCAAAAGAGATGTAGAATGGGGATTAAAGATGGGGAAGAAAGCGAAGAAACAAGTAGACAGGCGAAAGAGAGAACAAAAAAAAATAGCTGGGGTGCTATAGCCTAATAAATAGGCCACTACTATGCCAAAAGTTCAATAAGGCCTTTACTGATTTCCTGTGCGAACATATATTGTGTCGCTTTTCAAGCACTGACTGTTCTGACAAGGGTCTCTCGTCAAGACGAGCTAATGCAGCAGCTAGCTGCTGTCTTTGCACGCTGTAACGAGGGCAGTGACGGAGAACGTGCTCTATCATTTCATCGCTGTTGTAATGGTCGCAACCAGCACTGTCTTCCATGCCAACTCGTAAGGCGAAAGCTTTGGTGAAAGCGACACCAAGCCACAGTCGGCAAAGCAACGTTGTTTCAAGGCCAGATAGTCCGGACGGAGTAATTGGGAATGAGAGGGCTACGTATGCTGCGAGAATCCAAGACGAAGGTGGAGGATGTCGACGGGCGAACCTTCCAGAAACGAGCCAAGATGGGGTGACGGTAGAGTATGCAGTATGCATGTCACTCGCAGTGTTCGAGAGTTCGTGCTTTCACGCTTGCAAACGTTTCCCATTCTTTCTATGAAGAAGCTGCCCGAGATTTAGGCACGAGAACAACCATGTTGTCACCGAGCCATCCACGATATTCGCGGAAGAGAGGCGGAAGCTAAAACGCCACAAACGGAAGACGAAAAAAAAATACAGAAGTGTAATATAGCCTGACGAAACACGCTCATAAGCTTAGCTGTTTCCAAAAATGTTTGGAAGTGAAGATGGCTGGATTTTTTTGTACAAGGTGGAACTTTTAGAAAGATGTACAGTGTTTTATAGTACGCAAAGCATGAAAAATATAAATCTATTTCAAACCTCTGTCCAGAGTGGGCAAAAAGATCCTAGAGCGTGAACTACATGTATTAACAATGCAGTCACTGATAAAGCATTTGGAAGTTCTAGATAAACATCAGCTAAAGAACGGCGACTTCGAGCGCTGATGTTTGTTGGACACGACAATAAATGGAACAAACATGCAAAAATCTACGAAATACCTAGGGGGTGGAACCTATAGTAAATATCATATAAACTGATCAAAACAATAAGTTGCCACTGATAGAGACCTAATCTGTGACTCTCGAACAACGTGTCCGATTCGAAAGTCGCAGGTATATTCCAAAATCACAAGTTCGAACCCCGCCAGTAGTCTTCCTTTTGACTTTCTTTGTGCATGTCTTTCGAGCACCACAACACAAGTCTCACAAAGAGGAACTCATTGTAGGTACGAAGCCTGTTGTAGGGAAGTTGGTTTGTCTTCCCCTCAATTTGCTGTCTATTTGTGTCATAATAACTGTGCCGCAAATTAAAGCCACAAACTACGTACCTAATGTCTTTCTTGGCCTCAGTGTTTGTGGATATGACAAGATGAGGCCTTAGAAAAGTTAGTGTGAGGATAAGGCGAACACAAGAGCTATGTTTGACAGTAGCTCACGAACTAAAATGAGTGGGTTAATGCACACATCAGTGTGCAACAATTGTTCATGAGCCAAGGGATGGCACACCAAGCAATTCGATTCTTTTGCGCCATGGTGAAGAGCTCAAATAACTCTACGTCACACTATCCTGCCGAGCAGCCACTTCAAATAAAGGGCGTGCCCCACCGAAACAAATACCTGCCTGCGTCATTTGCACATATGACAAGTCAGCAAGGAATAAGAGCAACGCTTCTTGATAAGTACAATATTATCCTGCCTTGATCGACAAGTTACAGCGCTCTTTTGTTTTTAAAATTTTCCTCTTGTCCGAAAAGCACAGCCAGATGAGCGAAGCAGCTAAGTAGACTTAATCCTAAAAACTACGATACGTGGAAAGTAGGTTCAGCTGCTGAGAGCAAGATTAGCTATGTTTCCACAATTAATTCAATCGACCATTTTTAATACACTTTTTTCACTCATCAAAACTGTGACTTCCGAGTCAACACATTCGCCCAAGCATGTTCAAAATGCTAGAGCGTTCTGTTGCTCGTAGATAACCCAGTATATTTTGTTAAAGCGAATATTTATTTCCAATATAAATAAAACAAAATATTTTTTTTACTTTGTAGTGTCACAACAGCCTGTGCTCCAATAAAGCTGAGGTTTCAAGTTGATATTGACATGTGTTTAAAGTCCCAAAACCACCATAAGATATGAGAGACGCCGTAGTGAAGGGCTCCGGAAATTTCGACCACCGGGAGTTCTTCAACGTGCACTCCAATCTGAGCACACGGGCCTACAGTACTTTCGCCTCCATCGAAAATGCAGTCACCGTAGCCTAGATTTGATCCCGCAACCTTCGGGTCAAAAACCGAGTGCCTTAACCACCAGACCAACGCGGCAAGGCTGGTTTCAGGTTCACAAAGTCAGTGAACTCAAGTCGGCACTCTAACGTCATCATGAGTCATGGCACCCACAATGAACATCACAAAAGAGTTTTCTTGGAGATCACGCTTCGAAAAAGCATGAAGTTCATGTTGAACTAATAAGTTAGTGTGCAGATAAGGTTGCATTAGCAGCTCTTTAGTACATGTTCATGTGTCAAGGCACTGGTAGGTACAAAATGGACCTAAAATGAGAACAAACATGTTGTGATGCAGGAACTTAGAGATCGAGAACGGACAGACTTATCTGCAAGAAAAAAAGAAGAAACACGAAGGCGGAAAAAATTAAGGGATAAAAACGGTAGACAAAAATAAAAACAATAAAGGAAGCAATAAAGGGTATCAAACAATGTGACCATGACGAGTACACGGTGATATTTCATGGCACAAAAGTATGGCGTGATTTTTCGATCAAACAAACAAGGCTATCAACAAAGCAGTTCATATGCATATCTGCGAAGGGTGAATTAGCACTTACTTGAGAGCCTTCTCTCAACAAAACACAGACAGGCAGACAGACAGACAGACAGACAACGTAAATGAGGTCTTGAGAGACTAGCGGATAAGGACCCGCTGGGGCCGTCGGCCAACTACTGGCTGCTTTCATGAAGAAATGAACTTTTTCAGAAAAACCATGTCACCACATCCACAAGTCATGACACGTGCCAGTGATAATGTTTGCTGTTTTTCGTCGACCATTTCTATAACTGAACCTTCCCATTTTCGTGTTCCTCCTCTATTTATAATACATAGATGGGCCCTTGCTCAAAATATTTTAGTTCTTAGTTTGCGCAGCATCTTCTGTCCTTTCTTGTTTTTTTTCAGGCCGTGTCATACCTGGAAGGACAGAAAGAAGGGGCAGGAACAAAAGGAAAGGCAGGAAACGCATCGAAACGCGAACGAGGCCACTTTCACTCACAACATGAGCCGGTGCATAATGAGAATCCTGTGCGGGATGACCACTTCGAGCTCTTCTCGAAGAATAGCGTCCAATGTCCGGTCAGCGACGACCTTTGTCTCCAGGATGGGAGCCAACCACGGAAATCTGCAAAGTCCAGGAAGCAATGAGAATTTGGCAACACAATGTGTTGTTTGTCTTTCACGCTTTGCCGAATGCAAACCCATGGTTGTATTCTTGTGAGTGATAGTGTGCTCTGGCCTGCCACTCTGCACTGGGGGAAGCGAACGAAAAAAAATGTAATGAATGACGATGACAAAGTAAGGAGGGGAGTATGCACAGTTGCGTCAGTTTGGAACAGTGCTTCCAGTTCAGTGGCTTCCGGAAAAGCAATGATCGCTCCTATGGCCATTGTTGCACTGTTGGCATTGTGCCATGGACCCCAACACAGCCTCACCAGTTAGATGTCTATCATGCAATCAGAGGATATCAATTGATGTCCTTTGTGTTCGCATGTTGAGCAGCCACAAAATATCTGCTCAATACTTTTGGCGCTTCCCAGTGATCTCATTAGGGACTGGTGTCACTGTAGCTGATGAGATGTAATATTAGTAATAATAATAAAAATAATAATAATAATAATAATAATAATAATAATAATAATAAGAAGAAGAAGAAGAAGAAGAAGAAGAAGAGGAGGAGTTTAACGTCTCAACACTATCATATAAGAGACGCCGTAGTGGAGGGCTCCGGAAACTTCGACGAACTTGGGTTCTAACATGCCCCTAAATCTGACATCAGCGTTTCCAGGAAATATACTAAGGTGGAGTGTTCAATACTCTTGCGTATAAAATGAAAGAAACATCCAAAAATATATAAAATGATTCCTACGATTAAAATGATTATGTATTCAACGGAAATATAGAACACCTGTTGTCCTACTGGCCTCAATGTGGCTCAGAGAGACAAGTACTTGCCAACGCATTGCACAAACTGAATTATTGGCAACTTTCTGTGCAGCTGTTATTACAGCATCGTTCGCATCCTTCGACGACCCACAACGCAGTAGAAGCCCTCGTGTTTTTTTAAAGACGATAGTCTTTCTAGGGGACCTTCGACAAAAAAATTTTGGTCTGTCTGTCTGTCTGTCTGTCTGTCTGTCTGTCTGTCTGTCTGTCTGTCTGTCTGTCTGTCTGTCTGTCTGTCTGTCTGTCTGTGTGTACAGTTGTCTGTTTGTCCACCCTAACGATACTTTGAATGTCACCAAACGGCCAACCCCATCCGCAGCGCGCACTAATATTGCTCAAGGTTTAGCGTTCATAGTTGTGCAATTGTCAATTAAAAATGCAAATATTGCGCATATAAGAAGGGCCATAACAACATGTTTATGTTTTGTATGTCTGCCTTTATACCAGATGAGGCACACACAATTAACTATAAGAGATGTAGCGTATAACGCGCTGCACTGACACTGAAACGCGATGCTAAAGAAGGTGTTTCCAACGCTTTGCTACCACAGCACGGTGGTGGCAGCTGCCCATCGCTTTGCATTCTACATCTTATCACCTCCGAGATGGGCGCGCATCTTCCTCCGCGGTCACGCATGCCTTCGTTTTCGAAGATAACTGCCAGATGGCGCTTGTGTCTAACGTGCCTAGATTCGCTTGTTCGCCTCCGTTACACGCTCGAGGCACTCTAACGCAGCGCCTTCAGAATACCATTCAGCGATTTTCTTGCGCAGAACATCAAATAAACGTTTTGTTCATTCTCGCCAGACGCTAGACTATCGTATTTCGACGACATTTACAGTGTAACTTGTAGATTCGGGCCACTTTTTTTTTTTCCTTTTTTGGACGACGAGCTTGTGTGAGCGCCTTTGACTTACGGTGCAGTTCTGCAAACTGGAGGAAATTTAAAGTCTGTCTCTTTCTTTTTTTTCTTTTTCTTGCCTTTGATCCTCCCTCTTTCTCATCTTTCTACACCGCTTCCCAAACCTCCCGTTGTAATGTAGATATCCCGAAGCCTTCCTGGTCAACCTCCCCGCCTTCTCCCTTTCTATATGCTTCCTTCGCTCCTAGAGATAATGTTGACAGCGGCGACGACGATGTTGGGGACGACTACACGTGCACACCTTGTAGAGAAAAGGGCAGTTGGAACTCGCGCGACCATCACCAAAACGTGATTAGATGAGGCGTGATCGCAGAAAATGGCCATGCGGCGGCGCTGCCACCGCTACGAATCGGCGGGCTTCGCACCCGTTTTGCGTCACGTTCAATAATAATCCAGATAATCAATATTAGAGACATTTATCCATCCCTCCGTTGCACCAGCGAATCGTTTCTACGGGTCAATAACTACACATCGAAGAAGAAAGCGCGACAGGGTTTCACTGCTCCTCTCAGCTGCCGTTGAGGTCTACTCCTGTACTCAAGAAACATTGCGCCACAGTGAAGTGTCCTTAAAGTGGTCCTCAAGTACGACGATAAGGGCAGCGTCGGTGCTCTAGCTGTACTAACTAGAAATTTGAAGTGGGAAGGCACAGTCAGTTTCTAGTTTCATTGCTTCCTTTTTTTTTTCTTTGTAAATTGGTTTTTTCTTTCTGTTTTTTAAGCGGCAGTGCGTCGAAGGGCACAAGAACCTTCGCAGTTGGTAAACCACACTGCAAGGTTGTACGACAATAATTACTCTATTGTACTTAAACTACCGAAACACTTTCCGTGCGCACTGCATGGGTGAAAGTTAGCAGCGCCAGTGGTGACCCCGTATCTTATCATGCCATTGCTTAATGATGCGATATACGCCGCTTCCATTCACAAGGATCGTGCGTACTAATAACGTCGTCGTCTTTATGTAATGGGCACCAATGAGAGTCCTTACAGCTTGCGGTATTTCACCTAGGCCACTCTGGCATGTGGTCCATCAAGGACAGTGATCAAGAATTGATTCTTTGATCTACCAAGTGCCTGACTCGAGGAGCATGGGCGTGGGGCAGAGACGTGGCGGAGTGTGGCTGAAACTGGGAGAAACTGCGGAACCACTATACACCATTTTTCTAATGAAACAGTGACAACCAGCCTATTTCATTACTTTTACCTTGATTTCGGCTCCTTGAACATGCCGGTATTGATGGCCATGGGACAGACTGTTGTCAGCTTGATCTTGTCAAGCAGGCCCAGCTGGTAGAGTTCTTCGTCCAGAGCACACATCAGACCCCGAACCGCAAACTTTGATGCGCTGCAAACAGAGGTTTAGTGAGTCATGGATTTTTCTCAAACATTTTACTCGCTATACATGAGTATAGCGAGTACAATTGGAAACAATATATCATCAGGGACATAATTAAACGTCTTACTTCCCTGTTTCAGCTAAACGTGCCACATTCTCATGCACATTCAGTTCAACGTTCGAGATCAATTTACTTCCATTAATAATTGGGATTTGCGTGAAATATTTGCCGATATTCAATAAATCTTGGCAAGTTCATGTAAACACCAGATTTTCTATTCAGTGCAGTTTTTGGCTAAAACAGAGGTAGTTTTTCTTCGCATGCGCAAATGCACGTGGTACTATCAGCCTGAGTGGATTCGCACACAGGAGGTCTGAGCTCGTTATGATCATCATGCTATTTTGTTAATCTATATTTCCCATTACGCGGCTGTTCTGTTTACGTAACGGTGCTCGTTATGATTCCGTTTTCTTAGGTCATGTTACCGCATTCGTAGATAACGCGGAGATGTCAAATAAGGCCTTACGTCACTAAAGCATTGTCAGTGCTGAGTAACAACGAACTACTCTCGCTTCAGCTACGCTATCTCGCACCTCAAAATACTGCCATACCATCCAAACAGTCATCGCGCTATTTTTATAATGAACCGTCCCACTTTCACCCAACTTTGGCTCTCTCGAGTTCGAGTGTAGCGCGAAAGAAAGACAGCGGATGATTGAGGATGAGGGAAGCAGCTTGTTGTACAAGTAATTTATTTCACACTGGGCGCATAAATCGTTGAAACCTATGAAATATTTGTGATCTAACGCCACGAGCGTCAACACGACCAAAATAGAAAAAAATGAGACAAAGCATAGGCAGCAACAAGGAGTAAAAGGAGCTACCTCAACGTATTCGCATGCATGCTGCATACGCGATCTGTTTGGAGATATTTAAGTAATTTTCTCTACAGGACAAAAAGACAAATTTTGAGTAGCACCATTCCAAAGGCCTGGAATAGCGACTGACATTTCTACAAAACTGCTGCATTCGCTTTCAAGAGTCGATTTTTCCTACAACTGGCAGTGCCTATCAGTTTGTGTGCCACAACCAGGCCGCTTATTACAAAATAATTCCATTTTCTATTTGACCATTATGAAGGCCCCAATGGCAAAATAAGTCAGGCATCGCCGTGACAGTATTTGTTTACATATTACTTCTACAACGTTGCGCTGTGGACGATATGCCCAAGCACCTTAGATTTTATACTGAACAGCGTCTGCAGAAAAAATATCTAAAATGTGTACACAAGATCATTGTACAAATACACTCGGTTTTTTTAATAAAATATAAAGAAACAATAAGAGATGTCCTGCAATCATTTTAAAACACGAGGCAGTATGTAGCACAAAACGGAGCAAATAACTCATCTTTACCCGAATCCTTACCAGTAATCTGTGAGGTAGCCAGTGCCCACGTAGCCGGCTATGGAGGACATGGCGACAATGTGTCCTTCCTTCTGTACTAGCATGCCAGGCAGGAACTCCTGTATCATCTGTGACGTTTAGGGGGGAATGTATTATCAATTTATTGCATGCACTTCCAAAGCACAAAAGTAGGTTAGGCTAAGGGTGCCATAATCTAACTGCGTTCGGTTTCGCGTGATGTCCAATTTGTGTCAATGCAGATGTAAGCGCTGGCAGAAACGAGAACTCTCTTTGATCGTTCAAATAAATGCAATAAAGAGGTTATACTTTCTGATTTTGCAAGTGTATAGCATGCATTGCCTGCTCAGGTACGCATTCGTTGTCCGACCGGCTTATATGAGTGCGTAGAAGTCGGTGATAGCTTTGTGTGGCTGAGCTCACACCCCAAAAGCGTGACACCTGGGTATGAGGATAACGCCTACGTCTTCTTTAGAGCGAGCGCTCTACTCAGACACGCCTCGCCATGTCTATGTTCATTCATCGTGTCACCAAGATCTTGACCTGCTGGGCCGCTAGTGACGTAACGATACGCTACCGACGGCCCAGACGCCAAACAGTTGCGCTTACTAGTGGTCTCGCCACTGTGCTACCACGCGACTAAGCTATAATTTTACGGTGTACCGGTGAAAATGACTTGCGTCTCATGAGAACCTTGTACGGAATGGTGCAATGATATTGCGCTGTTTACACAACCGGAAAGCTTCGCTTCATGAACTCTTGTTTGCATAGCATGTCATCTACTTAGCCTCTTACGGTGAAGCGCTGTGATTTTCGCCAGGTGGCAAGAAATAACCCACGAAAAATTTTCTGTTGCAGGGCACATATCTTCTGAAAAAACATACAAGCCGCGTATACATTTTATGCATGTAAACTGAGTTTACCATTGTTAAAGATATTACCGTAGCACGTCTGCGTTTACCTAATGCGGAAGAAGATTTTCTTATGGTGCGTGAAATAGTTAGTAGCTACCATTGCTATTATCAAGAACTTCCCCAGCATGCAGCCCTCCTCTATTCCAACGGGAACTGGCCCAGCACAGCTATTTTGAAGAAAAAAAGTTCATTTCGTTCCACATGTAATTGCATTGTCTAATGCGTATGATCCAAGTGGCATGGTTAGTTTAAAGGGTTCTGTGACGTCCCGTGACACTAATGAGACGCTAACACGGCGCATGAGTTTATGACTTACATGGAAAGATGGAATGTGGCAAGTAAAGGGTCGACAGTCAAAGTAACGCGCACAATTTCATTGTGACGAGACTGTCCAATGCAGTGGAGTAAAACTCGTCGAGAAATGGCAGGGAGTATCTGTCCTTCTAACGCGGCTGGTTGCTAGATCACTCCGAACAGTGTGAGTGGAAGGCAGACTAATTCAACGCAGCAGACTATAGACGGTTTCAAGATTGCAAGCATTGTACCCCGAAAAATTCCGGTCACCGCACTTACCAGCTCTTTATGTCGAAACTCAAAGCATGTTTCCAAGTTTGTTTTCAAAGGCCAGGAAGGTCTTTCTTTAATTTTCAGATAAAAGAAACGTGCGCAAAAATCAAATAACTTTTTTATTACTTTATGTAGCTAAAAAGAACATTTATTAGAATATATTTCGCCATATAAAGGAAGGAAAATGTAGAAAATTAGCGGGCTCTTTTCTAAAGCTCTTCTTAACAACGAATGCTATTAAGGCACATCGGTGGACGATACCGGATGTCAGCAAGGGTCTGTTTTTGTAAACAGTGAAAGGGTCTGCGCATGCGAGGACCAAAATCAAAGATGCTACATCATAACAGCGCCCCTGCCATAGGTCCTTCATCTTTACTAGCTTTGTGGCACGGAGCAACGCCCCGTAGGTTCCATATTCAACTTACAATACCTACTTAGCTCCGTGGAAATTTTTTCTTTTTTTATGATAACTGCTAACTGAAAGTAAAAACATTCAGAGAGTGCGCAAAACACCTTAAAGCACGTACAACGCTTCTAAGAGACATTCCCGCCTAAAACTTTCAGGGTGCCTTCCAGGAGTGGCAGACATGTCTCTGTAAGTGTATTGATGTAGAGGAAGAACACTTTGAATAATTTTAACGATTTGCGCAGGCCCAATCAATGAATATATTTCCCCCAGAAAATACGCACTACTTTTATATTAAACCAAGAGTATGTACAACGATAAATAACTTATTTTTTATTGTACTTTACTTACTCACGGTTATCCAGGTTAAAGTGTCTTATTATGCTGTGTCATGTACGCTCAGATTTTGTTTAATCAAACGACGGACCAGAGCTGCGGGCCCAGGTTCAAAAGATGGGTCCTACTTTTCACTGTTACTTAGTGTATTGGTTATGGCAAAAATAAAAGTAGATTGATTGATTGATTCATTCATCAATCGATTGATTGAAGATTGCGACAACGCACGCAGAAATATTCAGGAATGCCGAATAGAACAAAAAAAAACGAATAGCTCAACTTCACTCCAACCAAGGTGAGGCAAACCAAATCGCACCAAATGCTTCTAGAATGACCACGGTCTTCTCACGAGACGAAGCACTCAGTCTTTTTAAAGACAGCAACTTTTGTCTACACTAACTTACACATATCTAACTTACATATATCTAATTACAACTAACTATATCTAACTTACAATATACAATTACATAATATATCTAACTTACAACTAACTTACATATATCTAATGAGTTACTTTGCCGGACGTGCCAAGTCCTGAGGAAGGTGGAACCTCTATACGCTGTGCCAGAAACGCACGCGAAATGACGATCTGTGTTGGGATTCTCCAGGCGGCACGCCATCTACTCATACATAGCGATATTTATTTTATGTATTGCCTACGAACCATCCTAGTGCAATCTCCTTTGGTGATTGCCTAACTGATAAGCATGCGTACTTTTATCGTGCATTGTATCCCTCGCTGGAAGTTAAAACGCTGTAACATTTGGTCCGAGTAAAAGACCACCTTGGAAAGGAAAGTTACCATGGGGTCGCTCACATATGTCCGTGCCAAGACTGTCAAGCATGCTATATAGGCGAGAAGGGAAACGTTAAGTGAAGGCTATACTTATACAGCCCCGTAACGATGCATACACGGGACACGTGGTTTTGACGACCTTGGCAGAGCATCATGAAAAAACTGAACTCTGTCCTGACTGGCAATCTACGTTAATCTTCGAAAAAGAGACTATTATCATCGCGTCTGCTCATCGAATATTTCTGCAAACAATCTAAGTGGAACACGGGGTCCTCTCCCTGAGGCATACGCAAATGTATTGGGTCTTTCAACACGTATATAGTGAAGACCGCAATCCATTCATTCCTTGTGAATAAGGCACCCGTATTGATCCCGAAGCAGCGAGTCTCTCGTTCTGTTATCTTTTTTTACTTGGCCAGTGTACCTTGTCCTCAACCAACCATGTATACGGGCTGCATCAGCATCACGTCAATCGTCTCCTTTCTTGCGCTCGTCCACGTCGCCATTTCACGCGCATACCGTGAGCCAAAACGTAAGTTGACATCAAATATCTGAATTTGATTTTTTACCCTACAATATTTAATGTGGGTTTTACATCACGTCTTTCAGGGGGTCAATATTCAACCTCCATGGCACTCAACGCATCCTTCGTAGAAGGCTGTCTTGTTTCTTATTGCACAGCAGGTCAACGTAATCATGGTGCATGTTCATGTATACACGGTGCCCCAGCTAACTAGCCTCAGTTCAAGAATGTAGAGACGCACTCTATGACAACGCAACAAAAAGCATGTTGCTGAATATTACCTGCATTTTGTCGCAGTAATTGTTTTATTCTTAATGACCTAATTTGAAATGTTTATTCAAATATGTTTTTAAGCAATGAACTAGGTTAGGATAAAAAATTCAGTCAGAAAGTAGAGTATTAGTTAGCGGAATATCAAACTAGACGGCTTGTAACTTTCTGTCTATTGAGTGTTAGTGCTTTCGGCTTACTACACACGCCCACGAACTACAAAAAAAAGAAAACAAAACAAGTGACATGCACGCCCGTGTGCCTTACAGCAGTGCTCCCTTAGGTTCCACGTGAAAACGAGCAGTGCATTTGGCTGGATGCGCTACTTAGCAGGGCTGTGCGATGACACAAGTTTTGCTTGTGTTAATACAAGCGATAATCACTACGAAAAAGAAAGCTGGGATTCTGTAGTCTATTCTATGGGACAATACCACGCAAGAAGCTCAATATCACCTTCAGTGATTTTCTAGCCGAAGACCGAACGCTTAGGTTTCCGAGCACTGACTGTTTTGACGAAGGTCTGTTGTCGAGGTGGGCTAACGCTGCAGATAGCGGCAGTCTGTGCGCACTTTAGCAAGGGCAGAGACACAAAATGTGTTCTATGGTTTTATCACTGCTGTAATGGTAGCAAGCAGCATTGCCACCTTCCTTAGAATCATCTGTTAATTATAATGACCTGAACATACCAGCCCGTTGCGCAAACCATGCACAAGAAAAAATAGGCTTGACTGAAGCGCCATGAAAGAAGCAAGACAGCTAAGTACTCAAATATATGCAAGAAACTGCTTGAAGTATATCCCCAAAGAGCCTATAGTGCTGTGGTATTCTCATGTTGGAGCACTTCCCAGTTTGCGTCGTACAAGTATTGACGAATGGCCGAGGCGCCCGGTCGACCAAATAGGTGGGAACATGCACACGTTCGCATTTATGTTCAGCCGATTTACTTTCCTGGAAAGCACATTGAATTGGTTGTCGCACTTCAAAGTATGAGAGAAGATTCAAGTGGATTGAACACCTTACCCAGAAGTGCGAGAGCAGGTTGACGTCGAGTGTGCGGCGTATCTGCTCGGGCCTGAGCGTGAGCAGCGGTTGGCACTGAGTGACGGCGGCATTGTTCACCAAGATGGAGACGGGCCCCACCTCTTGGGTCACCCGGCGCGCAAGCTCACGCACCTGGCTTTCGTCGGAGACGTCACACTGGTAGGCGTGCGCCGACACGCCCACCTCAAGCTTGATCTCGTCCGCTACCGACTGGTTGTTCTCCTGCGAGTGGGTTATATGTTGGGCACAACTGATTGTTTGTCTTAAACAGCGAATGTGCGGCATATTCCAGAAGTGTTTCGGCAAGTTTTACCGGACATTCAAGACAAAGATTTTACACTTGCTCAGCTGCGGAAATATTTCAATAACTCTGCAAACAGCTAAGAATATGTCATTATTCTTGTCCTCGTATAAGAATAAACTAAGGCGTGGCCGTGTTCTTTTTACCTCTCCTTTTTGTCATTGTTTTCTTTTTCAATATTTTTGCACAGCGCTCGTATGCAAGGCAGCTGATGACTCTTGCTATTTGAATGCTGTATATAAACTTTACTGCCTCCATTTAAATTTACTCCAGTTTATGCAGGTTCCTGTACGGTGTGTAAAGGCCAGCCATTTCTGCTGTTCTATTTTGTGTTCTGTCACCACGAATACGTCTGCCTGATGTAACTGGTGGTCGAGAACTCAGTCAAGTGGCTAGTCGCTTTTTTTTTCACATACCCTCCATGAACACTGTAATGACGGGAATGAAAGTTATTATTATGTTCGTATTAAATTACAAAGTCAGTAGTTTATTGCACAAAAAATTTCGTGCAGTGGTGAATGCTAGAGTGCTAGACAAACACCTTGCTATCTCATAAGGAACTTTAAAAAGTAGAATGGTTTCCTAAGAGACTAGACGATGTCAACATTTCCACACTTGATATGTACGATTGAAGATGCATAATTGATTCATGCAGTCAAACTTGACTGCTCTGACACATAAAAGTAATAATAAGCTTAAGAGCTAAGCTTCCTGTTGGTTACCCTACAACGATAGATTAAAGAGAAATCGAAAGATAAGACAGAAAGTGGAGGGAATCAAAGAGGAAAAAAATACTAAGAAGCAGTGAATTCCCTGCACACGCGGTACTACATTTCAAATCAGAGGAGTTCGCAGAAGAGCGTCGTCTTGAAAAAGCACAATATTGCCGTCACAGCTTCGTGGGCAGTCGAGAGACACGGAAGGTGCTGTAGCACCTGCACGCGAAGTGGACAGTCATCCAGTCATCGCAGTGCACTGAAAATTATGCTTGTCTCTCGAAGGCGAATCGAGGACAGCGACACAGCAAATGGCCGATGTCTTCTCTGGTATCGCTAACTTTGCATGCCGCAGTGTGAATGATACCGGTAACGTCGCATATATATGCCTTCGTGAACACCACTCCCAACCCAAGGCGATAGGGAAATGCAGCTTCACATCTATGATGGTCGGATGAAAGCCGAAGTTGCAATGAAGGGTTCAGTTGGTGCAGTGTGGTATTCGTTATATTTGGCGGATTTCACTGCGTTTTTTTCTTGAAAACGCAACTGGAACGATGTTTGCTTCCATGGTGCGCAGCGCTTCATTGATGTGCTTACGACGTCATTTTTGTAAGTGTTCTGGAGGGACAGCATGTGTCAGTATTCTTGCAGGCGTTCTTCAAGACATGTGGACGAGCTTACGCGTGTGTGTGCGCATGCGTGCGTGAGCGTGTATGTGTTGTAGTACGGGGAAGTATCACAGCTGCAAGCGCTTATGGTACTTCCCGCACGAGCTCTGTGCTTCGGAGGCTAGTTACATTATCTTTTGACAAAAGCGAAGAACCGGATACGGAATATTTCGTAAAACTAAACCATTAATTTTTGCACATAGCGTTTATGCTTTGATTTCAGGTAAAATATTGCAAAGAGACCTAATTTTTACCTGTAGCTTAACGGTAATCAGGATAGCGAACGTTCTTCGATGTGCTCTGTAATATGCTATCAGTTCTTCACCATTGATGTCACAACTGGTAGTCACATTAGAATCGAACGAACGTATTTATGAGCTGGAAATTTTTTAATACCTCAATTCAGCAAAGGCCTATTTTTCAAAAGTCGTAACAATTGCTGGACTCACAGTTTTCGCAATGCCTGCTACGGTTAAAAAAATGGAAGGTAATTCACTCATAAGCCAAATCTGAAACACACGCCATTAACCTCAGTTGGGGTATGAAAGCCATCAGTTGAACCGCGGAGTAGCATATTTGTGTATATTATCCTGCAGGCACTGGCCGCACCAGCTAGTAAGGCACATATCATTTTTGTCCAATATTGTCTCTGTGATTGAAGTATATCTTGTAAGAAACAAGCATGAGCAGAATGCAAACAAATTATCATCAGTAATAATAATATTATTTAATTTGCATAAATAAATACATAAACATATACAGAAACGACGAGAGACAAGATGCCCTCTTTCGGGAGGGGCGATCAATAGAGGGAAGGGAGACAGGGCAGAGAAAGAAGAAAAGAGATAAAAAAGTAAAAAGAAAAACGACGAAGACCAGTGAAAATAATGTAACAGAAAAAAATAAAACGTCCATGAACGGGTGGTCAGCTCCTTTTGGTACACGAAAGTCAGTAAAGCTCGGCAGGCCTGGCCGCATCACGAAACACTACGTCTCGGAAAGAGGTAATCGCAGAAGTGCACGTACATAAATTCCGGGAAAATACATTCCTTGATTCCTACCGTAGCAAATGCGAGATAGTGTACATTTAAGATTCTCAAGCATTTCACGGTATAGTCACACGCTGCGCACAACGAACTGTCAACCGGCCGTTGACGGTGTAAACGTTCACGCACAAAGCCTCTTAGTTTACACAACAGCGAACGACGACGCAGCTCACAACCACGCGGAAGGAATGATCCGTTCGCGACACGCTGGTATGGCTTTAGGTGGCTTCGGCGTATGAGCATTCGAGCGTTGTCGATCATGGATGAAATTTCCGCGCAGTCACAATCATCGTTTAACAAACAAAGCAAAACAATTCGTTTGCTGGAGTAGCGGCCGGTAGACCGACCTTCAACCGCGTGAATGCAGTTTATCAATAGCACTTCTATAGAAGCTTTACATAGTTATAGATAGCAGTGCAGTTCTTCATGACATGAAATACTCGTAGAAACGTTCTTAGCCGATAAGCGGTCGTGCGCCTCACCCTGTTCGAACCGTCCTCCGTTCGGGCGAAAATACGAGGACACTCGTGTACTTGCATGTTCTAGCGGGTTAAGAAACACCAAATGATATAGTTTGCGTAGGCGTCTTCAGGTACGGCGCAACACGTTATGATATTTTAGTCCTCACACTTAACACCTCATAAGTTGTCACTCTTATTAACTGTAGAAAGGGATCTGATAGAGTGAAACGCGGGTGGAAGTGAAAGTACGGAAGTGGGGCTAACCTCATAACAAATACTGTGTTATGTTATCTACGAAACACAAAAATGACCTGCCTGTCGACGCACACAGTAGAGTGAAATATCAAATAATATATGAAGTCGAAAAGTCAGCACTGTGCCCTCTGTTGATTTCTTCTTCTGTTTATCCTGTTATACGTGAGGTATGAATAACCAACTAGACCAATAACAACTGTTACAAAGTTTTATAAAAAACAGAAATGTGATAAACCGACAACCACACCAGGCTTTATAGAAGACCTGCCTTAAATATAGAGAGACGTGGCGTTACGTTACCTATAGGACAAATGTATCAGGCTTCGTATCACACAGAGATAGAAGGGCAATAGCACACGTGGGCGTACAGGAGAAACGTGCTTTACGGTTGATTCTTGTCAGCGCTCGTAGAAGGAACGCGGTAGTGCTTCGAAGGGGGCGATTCACGAAGCGGCAGCGATACGCGGCCGTGAAACGCGGACAAGGGCCTCCAGGAGGAAAGAGGAAGCACTCTCACTGAGTCGTTACCTCCCGGTGATCGTCGTGACCCACTTCGATCTCTCGACGCTCGTGCAGCCCGCGAGAGCGCAGAAGTGAACGCGTCTGCGCGTGCTCGTACGCCGGCACGACAGGAGCGTTTGCGACTCCGTGAAAGTGAATGGCCTCGGGTCGAGAGACTGAAAATAGTTACCGGCGTACGTTGGCCCGTCGGTGAGATGAAAGAAGGGTTGAGACGTGTTTATCTGTCTGCGAACGACTGACGTGGTACCAGACGACGCTGCCGCTATACGGGCGCTTCGCCTGAGGTTACTAGCATGAGCTCAGCGAGTAGTACAGAGCTAATATTGTTCCTAGGTCAAGGTCAAGTTACACTGCAGGAAAAGTGCTATCGTCGATCTTTATTGCTGCTAGAAATTCACGCAAGCTTTTTTATTTGAAGTTTACGAGAAAAATCCTGCAAATATCCAAATTCTCTTTGGCATTAAAGAACTCGTTTCGCAGACATTCCGGCGTGGGCTTCGTTGGTTCTGAGCTAAAAGTGTTAATCATCTTGTTCGTGACCCACAAATCTAGAAAGCTGCCCACAAAATAAAAAATATGTATATATTTCGGGTCTGAGTGAGGATAGAGCAGAAAGCTTCCGGGTTGCAATCAAGTGTTCTACCAGAGAATCACAACATTTGTTCAAACTGGGTTTGAAAAAAAAGCTAAACAATATATGAATATCATGCGGTGGAAGACGTCTCCTAAGTGCATGTGATATTGCGTGGCAAAAGCGTAAAACTGCGCCAAGCGTCAAAACACGTGAATCGAGTAACGAGCGAGTGGTTTAAAAACCAAACCATAAAAAGCACTGAAATTTGCTGATTCGTAAAAGGGATAATTATGGCGTAGTGTGCCCCTAACAACTACGCTTGCAGTAGATATTCAACGATACTTAGAAGTGACCAGCGTTACGCGCTGAATCGTTTGTTTTCTTACGGCGTGTTTGAGACATGCCCCGAGAACCGAAGCAACCTAGCAATTCAGAAAGAAATTTGCACGACACCCGATTACACTGCCGCGATCTGCTCTCTGAGGCAAAGCTCAAGTGCCCTCAAAGTTTTACGATGACATTGAAAATCTGCAGCATCATCGTTCATTAATCGTTCCACAATCTACACTTATGTGTCCCCACATTTGATTAGAGCACAACTGACGTCTTCCATCAGCATTTGAAAAACCCGAGTCTAAAAGTGTCCCCTACGTTTAACCCTTTCGAGCGTTTCAAG